AGTTTTTGAGTACTTAAGGCTGGAAGACGTCTCTGGAATCATCTAGTATGATGCCCAGCTCAGAGGAGGGATCAGCTCTGCATGTAGACTGCAGTGCTCAGGGATACACAGAAATCTTGGATTTTGAAAGATCGATATTTTAAATTTAAAATTACTGTTACTGTATGTGATGGAATAAATTGAACTGTTTGGGGATATTGTAACTTTTGGATCTTACATACGGATCTTAATTGAAGGACAAGTTAAAGAGGGAAAGGTGACAAGAAGGGTGGATGGAAGAGAAGAAGGTTTTTATTACTTTAACTTCTTTCTGACAGCTTAGCTTCCAGTGAACTAGTCATTGGAGTGAAATAGACATTCTGAGGAAAAGAGAAATAATGCACAATCAAAACTATTCCCCAAATTCTAGTTTTGATTGTCAACTAGCAATTTTAATAACTTTTATGATTTATGTCATTAAAATATAGGTAACTTTCAGTAAATTACAATTTGTGTAAGGTTTATGGGCATTATGCCTCCTGAAGAGGTCTTTAGAAATAATTTTTCTTTTCTAGAAAGAACTTAATAAAATAAACCACACTAGAAGGGAGTAAGGAATTCTAGTAAGAGGTACAGAAATGTCATACCTGTTTTGACAGATATCAAGTCTGATAGAGACTCAAATTTGGTTTCCATGTTAATGAAAACAAGTGAGAATCAACAGCACTGTGAATTACATTTTGCTCTACATACACAACCTAGATAAAGTGCTAATTAAACTACTGTGTGCAGGTTTATAGCGTAAGTGTTCTTTTTTGCTAAGGCATTTTTTGGATGCCATGTCTTGGCAGTACTGTGGTCACCATTCCTTAGCTGAAAGGTGAGTAAATAGTCCCGTATTAATTGAGAAGTGTATCTCGTGACCACAAACACTTGTAAACTGTATGATCTGTCATCTTAATATTTCATTGGTATCTTGCTTTTTGCTGTTCTAAAATATTCCATACTATATTTATTTCATAACATAATTTTTTGATAGCTTTGTTACCATGACCGTTGCATCATTTGGAGACAAGGTTTTTAATTTTCTCTGGGGTGCTGCAATTGCAAAGCCTGTTCCTCAGGAAAAAAAGTAGTATTCCTTTGTCTATTAAAAAAGGTCAGTTTTATGACTATTTGTATTTTTACTTTTGGTGTGACAAGGGATTTGCATCTGATACATTCTCCTGTATCAATTCTTAGGTTTCTTTTCAAAACATTTGGTTTCATGGTTTTGTAGAATGAATTTAGCAAAAAACTAATACATTTAAAAAACTGAGATGAATGATCTTGGCAGTTCTCTGTATACTTACACTGCTGTATCAGTGGTGTTTAAGGTATAAGAACATTGCGCATGATACACCTTAAATACTAGAGAGACCTGGTTTCTAATACTTGTAAAAGGGGGAGAATCCATACTAGATGAAATGTAAAATGTATAATTTGAAAACTGAATTCAGTATTTTTGTGTAGATCTGCTTTTTACAATTGACATTAAAATGAGTTGGAATTGTGAGGAAATAAAATTTTTCATGCTTTTATCTAAAGCAATTAGCAAGTATTCTGTATTTGCCATCATAGCAATTTTTCTAAAAGCAAATTACTCAGATAAATTGGAAGATTGTTTGCATTAATGAGTTCTGAAGTATTATAAGAATCCTGCAACAGAAGTAATTTGGAAAGCTTTCTTTTGAGTTGTGTAAACAGTGCTTTTACAATAGGACTTTTTTTTTTTTGTTTGTTTGGTTTGGTTTTGTTTTTTTTTCTGACCTTCTCAAAGATTACTGTACACTTTACTACATGTGCTTTGTCTTATGGCTTTCTTTTCTCCCTGTATTGCATATCATCCGTTTTTCTTGTTCTCTTCCAATTTAAGTTGTTTTCCCAGGTACCAGGTGACTTCAGAGGTTCTTAATTGCCACGTATTTCTCTATTAAGAGTTTAAGCCCTGCTCTCTTGCTGCTCAGTTTTAACTCCCTCTTATGGGTAGTTATGGGTGGCTTTTGGGAAGGGACTGAAGCAGCTACTACTCAACCGAAGAAAGGGCAGTCATATAGTGAGGAAAAGAAGCTCTGAGAAGGTAACACTCTCGCTGTTGAGTTCTGCAAAGGGCTTGATTATCCAAAAGTGAAGCTCTCAGGTGGGCTGGAATTACCAGCCAGTACTGGTTCAGCTGCTCTGTCAAACTGCCTGTTGGTACTCCTTTCTCTTGTCATATTTTGGGCAAAACCCATGGACAAGTTGACCTAACTTACTTGCAATAACATGTTTATGCTCACATAGTTAAGAGCTGTCTAGGACATGATTTGTGTGTGATAGGACTAAATGTTTGTTATCATCTGGACTCCTGCAAATGCAAGTTGCTAATATGTTGAGCATTTAATGACATTAATGATACATACTATCAGTTAACATTTGAAATTGGGTATTTTCTCTGACAGGAAATTTGTGAATTCTGTGTTTAACAGTACAGAAGAGTTTTCCTGTGCTGAAAATTCAAGGGAACATGATAAGTTATGAACATGCAACAGTAGGAATAATAATTCTTGCAGGCACATTGATGAACTAATGGGCAGCAGAGATCATAAGGCATATTTATGGATCTTGATTCTATTGCTGACATACTTTTTATACTGTACTAATTCAGCACCAAAGTTAAAGCTACAAAAATGGCAAATAATTAATTCATGGGTTTTGTTACAAATGTTAGACTAGACTAAAAAAAAAAGTAAAAATTGCAAGTTCTACCTGTCTTGCTGTACTTGTGGTTAGCTGAAGACTGGTAACATTTCAGGCTGAGAAAAAAACTGGTTTGTTGCTAGGAGGTAATGTGCTTTTTAAGGAAAGTGTATATTAAAGCTTTACAGAGCAAGCTAATGCAGCTTTATAGCTCTGTACTTAACATCCTTAGCTAGCCAGTGTTGTACTTGGCCCTGGCTTATATGGCACTTGTCATATTAAAAAAAGACCAAACACTAAGCAACTTGCAGTTGAACCTGACATGAATCAAGTAAGTTATGTGCACTAATGCAAAATCTGATACTTTGCCTTGTAGCTAAAGAGTATCTCACAACTGTTTCTGGCATGTCGTGTCGCATGTGCACATATGCCTGTACGTGTGCACATACAAACTAACGAATGTAAATTGATACCATGGTGGTTTTCTGTCAGTTTGGGCTAGGGATTGACATTAGGGATGATATACCACTTCCTTTTTGCTTCCTCATGTCAGGGCTGAGGTGTACAAGCAGACTAATATCAACAAAGTTGTATCTGATTTTGTGACATTGCTATCATTTTATGGTTTGATTGATCCTAGTGGGGGTGCTGATTTTACTTAAAATGCCAATGGATGTTACTGTGAAAGGTCTGTCAAAGTAGTTGCATGCTGTTACAAATTTTTGACATGGGTTCTAGGGTCAAAAGAAGAGATGCTCCTTAGTGTTCCATCAATGGCCTTTCATAGCTGGACCTTAATATCTGCATCTATCTCTTAGTTACCAGGCCTTATTTTTCCTCTCCACACTAAGTCATATTCTTTTGAAAATAGTGTGTAATCTTCTTATGTTAAGTACATTTTCTAGGTTAATATCAGTTGCTAGAAACAAAGTTGTTGACCTGAGAGCTTTTTGTTGTGTCTCTTATGGCAATTTCCCATAACAGGTTATTTTTACAAAATTATTGATTCTGTTCTGTCAAATAATGATGTCTACCACTTGAAGTGTGTGGAGATAGAAGACTCACGTTTGGCATCCCGAATATGATTGACCAAAGTGGAGTTTTGCGAACCTGTAAAAATCCTGTGAATGTATTTTGGTTTGATTAATATTTCCATGTAAAAGTTGATTATAAACTGATTAGTTGCCTAGTATATGGATTTGTTTTCAAAGTGCATTTGTACTTATGCTCTTAAATCATAAGTGGAATGATTTTCAAAATGAGGTAAATTGTTTTGCATATGCTTATTCTTAGCCCATGTGTGTTCACTTGAGCAGAATACATGTTACCATTCTTGTAGAAAATTAAGGAGAAAATTTTCAATTAAGGAGAAGATTTTTAATTAAGAAGAGTTTCTTTAGCTTTTGTTTCGAACTGTGAATTTGTTTCTATTTAATCCTTTTAATGTAAAGAGTAATAGTACAATCCTTGAAATTATCTCTGATAGTGTAATTTGTTTTCCTTTAAGTGGTCATTTTTTGCCACTCTGGGTACTATTCTTTGAGTTTTTTTTCTCAGCAGGCCGTGGTTCGTGGTTAGCAATGTCAGAACTCTTTTGCTATTGGGTGACTGAGCATCTGTTGAATCTGGATCACTTTGACTTACTTGTCTGTTTAGTATAAATGCATGTTATAGTTTCTATTAATATACTACAGTTTTATGCTGTTTTCAAAAGGATGGTCAGTATCTGAACTAACATATCAATAGCATAATATCATTTATCAGAACGTGTTCTGCCACCAGGTTAAGTCAAAACTATTGGAAAAAAGATGATCTGGCAGATTGAGTTTATATACCATAATATAACACATCAGAGCTTGGTTTCCAGTCAACACAAGCATTTTTGAATCATGAAGCCAGATTGACTATTATTGAACCACGGCCTTTAGGCAATACTGTAATAAGACCTCTTTATTTACAGTTAAAAGGTAAATTACTTCTTATTAGTGAAAAACACTGCGTGAAGATGGATTATTTGAAGTTGATCTCATAACTATTTGGGAGCTTTAGACTGCTGCATATGATAAATTAAACTTGTGATATTTAATCTTTAACACATAAAAATGTACAGCATTGCTGTACTGAACTTCCTAATCCATTTGATATTATAAAAACAAGAGAGTGTAGTTAACTTCGTTCCTTGTACTATTTTTAATCAATGGAAACTTTTGAAAATTTTAACGTTTTTATTTTTATGGAGTAATTGGGAATGTTTTAAATTTTAAGAATGATAGGTTGATCATGAAAACTATGTTTACTTTCAGAGAGAACAGGAAATGAGAATGGGTGATATGGGTCCTCGTGGAGCAATTAACATGGGAGGTAGGGATCTGAAGGAAAAAGGCTTCTGTAATGTAATTTTTTTTCTTTGGGACTGTACATGTTACTCAAGCACTATTAATCAGTGACAACTACTGGTAAAAAGGAGTAAGCAATATTAGGAAGTAAAAAATCCCACATATTTTGCTTCCAAACAGCTTTCCCCGTCTCCCACCCCCCCAGGATGTATCTTTATTTTATTGCTTTGTCTATACATGGGAAAAAATAAGATGTGCAAGTTAAGAAAAACAAAAATCAGGGAAAGATGATGCTTTGGAAATTATCTGATACAAAAGAGGAATTTTATATTAAAAAATATTTGACATTCTTTTGAAGGGACTGTCTATTCAGAGAAGTTTATACTGTGATTGCATGCAGTGAAATGATGGAGAGCGGTCAAAATTGGCAAGTTCTTGATGAGATTAATGAATAATGTGGTTGGTGTTCTACTAATTTACTGCAAATTTGTATTTGCAAATATTCTCAGTTTGCTCTTGTGACTTTAAATATTGTCACTGCTAAGAACTGTTCCTGTGAAATCTAGAAAAGTATGATAATTAGTGCTTGCTCCATATATGCAGACTGAAACAGTTTGAAATCTTACTTATCCAGTATATCTGCTTTTAAACAAGACTGAAACTTAGAGTGTTTCTTCAAAAACACCAAATCTTACTAAACTATATTAACCATCAATATATATCTATCAGAAACTTCCTAGTGTTAATGTAAAGTAAAATTAAGATGGTAATTTAAGGAAAAGTAGTAGAACTATTTTTCTGTATTTTAAACTTGAAATTACATATAAAACTTAGTAAACATTGTTGCTTGACCTTTTTGAGTAATGGGAGTTTATAGACTAATGAATAGACTAACAAGTCTGCTTGGTTCAACTTTTAAAATACATTATTCACCATTTCCTTGCATTTATTAATTGAGACACATTTATAGCTGCAATATAGAAATAGGCTTTTTCTTTCGGGGATGTTGAAAAGCTTTAAAAATAATTCTAAAGGAAGACATTGTGAAGTTATCTATAAGTAATGAAATGAAGCATAAATTGTGACTAAATTTTTTATTTTATAGTTGTACTTTTGCGTATCGTTGCAGCATACTTGAAAACTTCATTTAACTAAGAGACTTCATAAATATCGATACTGTGCCAGTTGTGCAGATCCACAAGATAGACTTTTTACATCCAGATTTTAAGTGTGTATTTACTGCAATTCTTGCCAGGTTTTAATGCTTAACAGTGATGTTCATCGTCTTGTTTTCTAGCTTTTAAACCTAATACTTTTAGAAATAAATTGTGTAGTTCCAAAAGAAGTTATAGTAACACTGAACAGCTATTTTAAAATAGCCATAGCAAATAGTCTGGATTTTAGGTTAGCTGACTACAGAGATTTTGGGTTTTCTCCAGTATTTTAGCAACTCCACGAGTACAACCAAAATAATCTGACCCCGAAACCTTACAGTAGACCTTTAAATAGTAGATCTTTAGTTACTGACCTTAGCATTCATTCTCAACATTGCTGTCAGAATTGTAACTTTATTTTTAACTGACCTTTGCCTGTGCCATTTGCAACATTTCATCATGTAGGACAGTAGAGAGCTGGAGTATCTTCACTAATGGAAACATCTGCATTATATTATTAGAAGGCAGAATACCTCTGTGACAGATTTAATAAGTGTTGGGCTGACTTGTGCAGAACTGCTCCTTTTTGTAGTTTTCAGTGAGAAGTTCTGAGAGAATCTGTATGGCTCATCATAGCACTTAGCTGATTCTGTAATGCTAAGTGCAGCTTATAAACTTCAATATGGAAAAAAGGAACTTTTTTTGGGAACTATCTCTGCATTGATGAGGATTATTGACTGGCGTGTTGCCAACTGTGGTAGACTTTGGTATGTGCAGTTCAGACATTTATAGTGTACTTTTTCAGCCCTTCAGTTTGCAGAAAAAGACTTTTTTTTTAGTGTCTGTGCATTGTTGCATGAACACTGGTGATGGCTTTCCATCTGTTACTAAACCTGGTCCTGTAAATTAACTGCTAACATCAGTGTCCCACCAAAAAGAATGGGCAATCAAGTTATTAGGTTTTAGCGTCTTTTGGGCGACCTCTGAGTTAAAGCTAAAATACTATAGTGGCCTCTTGCTGAAAGTGTGCAGGGCCCCACTCTCTCCTTGTATTACACTGTGTAATTTTCCTCCTGTTACAGCTGACTCTGCCTGAAACAGGATTAATATTATAGGTGTCATAGTATGGATTGCTATATGTCACCCTAGAAGCACTGTGGGTGCATTTGTATGATACCAAGCATGAGAACTTTGTTGCAATTGACAGATAAGTAATGCTACCTGTGTGTGGCCAGCTGCCTCAGTTTAATTAGCCTGAAAAGCCAATAACAAGTAATTTAGCATTTAGGTAATGGCACTACTGCCCGCACTGATCACTGCCAACATGATAATCCTGCAGAGTAGGAAGAGCCTCTGAAAAAAAAAGGTTCTTTCTTATGTTGGCAGTTTAGACTTCTCCTTTTCCTTCTCTACTTAGCCACTGAATAGATGATACTAAAAGCCAATTTAGGGGTGATTCTGTTGAATTGTAGCATGATCTTCTACCTGCTTCCTGAACTAATCATATGTGGGTAGGTAAGAAGCATCCAACCTGAGCATCCCTTTGTTTTGAGTTAGTGTCATAGGGAGAGGTCTGGAAATTTCTCATTACTATGCTCAAAAGAGTTCTGCTTTTCAAAATTACAGGATTTTTATCTCTTCTGGTAAACTTGTTTAGCACTTTACAGGTGCTGCTGTGTTGCATGGATTGTTTTTGCTAAACAGTTTGTAGTTGACATAATGATCAAACCCAGCTCTTCAGTTTCAGCAGCAATATCTTGGATGCCATGGTTTCACTGACTGTTGTGATATCTGTAATCAAGGCAGGTAATACAGATGTAATTTTGCATACCTGCAGATAGTCATAGTACTCTGTCTATACTGAATGGCCTGTTTACAATGATGTACTTTTATATATTCGTTACTGAAGAAGTACAGTTGTGATGAGAAGTGAGAGGGTTTATTTTTAAAATAACAAGCTTATTAGTCTAGCAACGTATCTGACTTCTTTATATTCTTATGGTGTATACTTTTAAGTGTAGGCTAGGTTCCAAAGGTATTTTCTTTGAAAAGAATGGATTATTTGGGGGTAGGGGAGGAGAACGCATCATCACCAGTCTTGATGATATTTCATAATGGCAGATGTGAGCTATATAATCAGACTTTTTTCTTTCTTACAACAACAGGAGAAAATGTTATGAAGGCATTTTTACCTACATGTTGAATATGTTAATGAGTACTGGCAGAGTGGCATGTCCTAGTGCAATATTAAAGCTAAATGATCTCCTCAAAATATGTTTTCAAGCTTTTTTCTACCTCTTACTTTGAATCAGAATTTTGGAGGAGACTGTTCTGTCACTTTCAGTTCTAGCAAAATTTCCCATAGTTTTCTGGTACTTTTCCCATAATAAATTACAGCTAAATGCAAGATTTTATTTATACTGTATTACAAATAATTTATTGTGAAGCTGAGTACCATCTCTGGTATTGCTTTTACTGTACACTATATACAATTAACATAATATTGATAGAAGAGTACTTGAAAATGTACATTTCATGTGTTACGATCCCTAAAGAGCCAAGTTGCCTTATAGCTGGCAATATCTGTAAAATGACCTGAGATTTTTGCTAATTTGTGGTCTGTATACTGCATATATATGCTGTATGAATGCTTCAGTTCCTGCACAGAAACTGTAAACCTGTGAAGCTATAAAGGTTGGGATTTTCAAACACGAGGCAAATTATGTAATGCAAAATACTAGGGATTATTGAGAATCTGTTTAAAAGCAGATGATTGAGATAAATGTACAGTCTCAAAGAATATATTTTTTTTAATTTCAAGTATTTGAAGTCTTGTACATTTGGCTTTTTAAATATTGTAAATTGTTTGTTTGTTCTTGTAAAATTAAGATAGGACAGCTCTAAGTATAGATTGTTTTGCATAGATGCGTTTAGCCCAGCACCTGCTGGTAACCAAGGCCCTCCTCCAATGATGGGTATGAATATGAACAACAGAGGAACTTTACCTGGCCCTGCAATGGGTCCTGGTCCTTCCATGGGACCAGAAGGAGCTGCAAATATGGGAACACCAATGATGCCAGATAATGGAACAGTGGTAATGTATCACAAATTTAATTACTTTGAATAGCTGTCATGTCTCATGGCCCATTTTTGTTACCAAAGGTATTTTCACGCTGAATAAGAACGTTATAGATTTTGAATCTGTGAAAAGCGATTGATAAAACTTGTTCATACGAATAATTTACATCACAGAAGGGCAATATTTTTTTGACATTACTATGAAAATCATACTTCCCTTAGGAATGGTAATCTGTAAATTTAGACTTTTGCTGTTCTTTTCTTTTGTAAAACTAAATTCTGTGAATTAGCTTGTCAGAGGTTTTGATGAACAGCTAAATGTTGGAAGCTATGTAGTGTGAAGATATCTTTGTGTAAACTATTTAATTTTTTTAAGCAACTTTAGTGTTCTCTCTATTTCTTTTGTAACACTGTAAAATGCATGAGAATTGTGACAGTAATTACACCACTTAGAAAATCAGTATGCCAACAGCTGTTGGGCATAACTCTCATATCAATACAGGAAAAATAGTATTGCCGAATTGCCATGGGTGGTAGGGAATATCTTGTATACATCTGGAATTTTTAATCAGAAGTGATAGGCCATTGGGATGCAGTTAAAGCACTAGCCATTTTTGCTTTGTTCTCATAGCCAGACAGTTACTTTTCCTAGCTGTAATGTCTTATGTAGAGAAACAACTATATAATTTTAAAATCTGATTTTTACATATTTTTTCAATACTACTCTGTTAATAAATATTTGGGTTACTGGTGGTGTGATATAAAGTGATTCTGTTATAGTTTTATTGGAACACGGAAGCATTTTGTAGCTGCATCTTTTTATATATGCCTTCTCAACAGTATCTGTCCGTGACTGAGCAGTCTGTATAATGAAGTTTGAACAAAAAAATTTGTTCCTTATAGGAAAAATGAGATTTTGATTTTGCACTAAATATATGATGAGTCTGGTCTTTATAAATTAAAAAGGAGAGGATCTCACTTCATGTCGTAGGAGCCAGCTCATTTTATCAGTTGTATAATTTCTCATGAAGTAGGGAAGATGCTATTCACAAAATACTGGTTTTGGAGATGCTTTTGCTGTAGACCACTGTGTTATTGATCAGCTCTAGAACATTCTCTTGTGATTATACAGACATTGAAAAAGAGGCGTATGGAAAAGAACATGGTATCTAACTTAAACTGTTGTTTTTCTACAAAAAGTCATTCCAGGTATGAAAATGTAGGGAGTATACTGACACTTCAAAATGCATGTTTTAAAAAATGTTTCTTTACTTCCATTTTCTTCTGCATGCTTCTGAAGGACAAATTAGGTTTTATTTTTTGCTTCATTTTGGACTTTGAGGGTTTTTAATTTGGAGGGCAGGCCCCTACAGAAAGGCATAGCCTTATTGTATTTTTGCTGTTGGAAAGATACTTTAAAGATCCTATGAGAGGTCTCTACTAAAACACTGTAACAGTTAATTTCCAGTGAGGGATATGGAGACCATACTTTATAGACCAGAAATAAAAATTTAATTTTTTAAATTGAATGTTTTTCTGAAGTCTTAAGAGGAAAGTTGTAGTAATCTTCTTTTTGTCCCGCTGCAGTCTTTTGAACCATAGATTGTCTTTGAACATAACATTTTCAAAGTAGCTTCCCCCACGTACTTTATTGGAGGTTGTTAATTACTGAAGTTTTCTCATTAGCTGGAGAGAGGTTTCCTTGTTGGAAAGAGGACTGTACTTTTTGCCCAAAAGTCAAATGGTAAAAATGATCAGGAGTACGATAAGTTATTTGTTGAAATTCATATCCATTGCTGACAAGCTGGCGTGAGTTAAAGATAATTTTTAAACAGATTTATCCAGTGCTGCAGATTTAAAGGTTCTTTGGCTCAGTAGTAGTTCTTTATGCAGCTCTTGAAGTAACATTTCAATGTCAAACACATATATACAACCATGATCTAAGTTGCATATATTTTTATCTTTATAGATTTAATGCTGTTTTTTAGTAATATAAATGTGAACTAGCAGACTTTAGAACTGCAGAGCTCTGCTGCTTTTTCTGGAGTTAGGCTTTCAGAAGAATTCTTTTCTGATTCAGGCATACAATTGAAGTGCTGGTCTTGAATGTCCTTGTCAAACTCTGAATACCTGGGCAGTTAATGTAGATCTCTATACAGAAGGAATTTCTTCTAAAAGCATAACTGTCCTCAACAGGTGAATGATGAGTTATTTCCACATCTGATTGTACCATGTATCTGTGCTTTTAATGGTTTATGTTATGTTGAGTTTAAATTTCACCGTGTGGTGTTCTGTTTTAAACACTTACATAAATACTGAACTGTAAGTGCTCAGATGCACGTTTTCTGTTTTAGGTCTTAATTGCTAAGCAAATAAATTTGTGTAAGCATATATACCTTTATTAATATTAGGCACAGAGCTAAGGAAAATAAATGTGGAATATTAACTGGATTTTTATCCTAGATTGATATTTCAGAATAAGCTTTAGATACATATGAAGTTTTTTTAAACTAAGCATAGTCCAGTTATGCATTTTGTGACTAATGTAATTTTATTTGGACAGGGTTTTAAAAGTCTTAACTAAAGAGTTCTAAAGTACCGTGTAAAAGACTGACTCCAGTAGCATGGACTTGAAGTATCCACAGATATATGGATATAGAAGTCTTCACGTTATATTGCTATTAAAAGAATAAATATGATTTATCTGGAAATAAAAAAGCTGATCCTCCCCAGCCCCCAGTTTGACAGTGTTTCTGTGTCTAATTTTTTTAAGGGAGAAGCATTGTAGTTGGTATTTAAGGCAGAATAGCGCTCAGGTATAAAACTGTTTGCTGTCTCCTCTGTTACATAGAGAATATATATTGCTTCAGATGTGCTTGTAAAGATGAAGTTACTTTTAGCACCAGAGTTGATCTTAAGTATTGCTTTTAATTTTTAATTTACTTTACAAAGTTGGAGCATAACATTAGCACTCTTTAATTTCCAGTTCTTTTCCCATAATAACTAATTGAATTGCTCCTTTCTTCCTTCTATGTGTGATCCTGATTCTGCTGGACTATCTGCTGAACTCCATGACAACATCACTTGTGGTTTTTGTTGTAACTCATATTTGGCATGTTCCAAATGGACTTGTATTAGCATAATGAGAGATTCCCTCAAGGAGGTCCATCACAGATGGGTTCACCTCTGGTTAGTAGGACGGGCTCTGAAACTCCTCAGCCGCCAATGAGTGGTGTAGGTGCCGTCAGTGGTGGACCTGGTGGCTTTGGTAGAGGAAACCCAGGGGGCAACTTTGAAGGACCTAACAAGCGTCGCAGATACTAAATCTGAATTCATTCCTTACTGTTTTAGAAATTCCAGTAAAACTATACAGTATATGCCTTTATAATTTTAGCTGTTATCTGGAAACGGTTCTATTGTTATTGTAGTCTTTAAAACAATTTCTTTTGTAAAACCTTTTTTTGTATTCAGTCATAGGCTTTGTAGTATAGAGCAGAAATGATGCGGATCATTATGTAAGGCAATGTGTTTGTGACTAGCAAAATACAATGTGTGACTATGCTGTAAAACGTGCAGTTATCTGATAACAATAAAAAATCACTGGAAAGTATTTTGGGAATGTTATTACTAATACTGAGTGAGAATAATTTTATGCTTAATTATAAGTGGCATCATTTTCATTCGTACGTAGTTTCTACTATGTGTCAAAAAAGTTCCATTCTTAATAGTGAATCTGTTTAGCTAAACTGCATGGTGCAGTACATACTATGAAAAACTTATAACACAGCTGCTTTTGCTTTGACTTTGGAAGAGCATAAAATTTTATACAAAGTGTTCTCAAGGCTACTGTGTCCTTGCATCTCAGTGCACCATTGCAAACTTAGTCACAATAGGCTTATCAACAGAGTATATCTGTTAAACAAGTTTTTAGAAAATTTAACCTGGGAAAGAAAAAACTTTGGAAAGGAATCTGTATGTATGCTTTACTCATAACAAATGAATGAATTTACCTAAACCATACTTACGCAGAAGAAAATTTGTTGTGACATCTGTGTTCTGGTGATGGTTAAAGTATCTTGCCGTTGTGAGGAAGGAGACAATTCTGCAAGCTGGTTTAAAGCCTTGCACTGTGTAGTGCATCATTATTAAAAAGTATACATTTTCCCCAGAGGTTGTTTTGAATAGAAACAGATCTGTTATCAATGCATAGCTATTTAATAAGGAAGCAAATATATGTTTTCTAGTGAAAATAAGTGTTTGTTTATAGTTGAGTAATATGCATTTAGAAGGATTGCACTAGTATTCTTCATAAAGGTTTTACAGAATGATGAATTTGAAAAATACCCAACTCAGGATAGACTAGAAGATTGAGTTGTAAGATAAAACTGATGGTAAAGCTATTAGGAAGCTTATTGTGATTCTGATTTTGTCAGTCATGGAAGATGATGGAAAAGACCTATTGGTTCTATTCCTGTAATGGAAAATAAGTAGGGATGTAAGAACTGTTTTATCAGTTCGCTCACATTTTCAGAGATAGAAATAATTTTATCTGCATGAATACTGATACTAAATTGATTAAAAACTGATTTGAGATAACCTGGTGCCCTGATTATATCAAAACGGTATATACATAGCTGAGCATGGAATGCACATAGCAGAGAGGGCATGTATGTGTTACTTGTTAATGTAGCAGTGATAGTCTTGGTGGCTTTAATATTGAGCAGATAGGTAACAAGAAAATTGCAGCATTGCTGGAATTTTGGAAGTACACTGTTACTTAAATTGTCAGTGTAATAGGACTTAAGATAGCTATCTTTTTCATAGAATACAGGAGCTATGTGTAGGTCCTCACTTGTGATATCTATAACTGATAAGTGTTTTGCTCTAGACTGTCTTTAGTGTTACCATTTTTTGCTTGATTTGAGATACATGCTACACTTCATAGTTTGTAATACAACAGCAGATTATGCTCAGAGTGTGAAATACTCTTTCCCCTACTTGATCTATGTATCACAT